TTTGTTGCAAACTCAAGAAAGTTCATATTTGTCAAGTTGCATTTTAAATCTGCTTGATATTTGTCTCGTTGAGCATATGTATCAAGTAAGCTATCTGTTGTTACTTCTTCATTGGGTGCATCAGACAGGTTAAGTCTATGGGAGCCATTCAAGTTCACAGGAAATACTATGAAGGATGAGCTGACAAAATTAAGAGAAAGCAAATGGTGCATTGTTTCCTGTGCAGAAAAATCTCTCTGACCTAGTGTTTTCATGACAGTTTTCTTTATCATTGTTGTGGCATCGGCAGTTGACTGACAGTTGTGAACAATAGCGCTGAATGTGTTCTTAAGCAGGTGAGATCTTGTTTCACTCTTTGCTGCATACTTTGCCAGATACTCAACACAGGCCTGGTAATCTACAACAAGTTGAATATCACAGTTTGCACGCCAGCCTTGAAGCTGAAGTCGTTGGTGACTGTTAAGTCTAGAGTCATTCCTTTTAGTTACAACTTGTATTTTATATTTTGGTGTGTTATCCTTGGAATGAATAAGTTCAAATTGTAATGAGGTTTTTTCATTATGTTGAAATGGGAAATTAAACCTACATTTGGGTTCTTTTTCATTTCCTTTTTTTCTTAAACAATAGCTGGTACTGCATCGAGTGTGCCTCTGAATCATGTTTAATAAATCGATGTAGTCATTGTCAGATTCTTTAATATCATTATAGTTTTTTTGACATGGATGAATAATTGGTTTTATCCAATCGCCTTCATCTGGAGGATCTGGGTTACAAGTAGAGAGAATCCAATCATAATATTGGCAGATTTTTTCACAAGCTATTTTCCCATTAATTACAGTTAAACTGTCAGGTGTACTTTCATCTTCAGAAACATCTGCCAAGTATCCTTTTAGTGCAGTGTCACTCAATTTGCACAAATCTGGATCATTGTTTAATTTTGCAACACCGTGACAATGAATACTACCTCTGGACTGATATTCGAATCTATACCAATGCCATTTGGCATCAAGTGTGTTATATAACCAATGTTTAATAAAGCTCTTTAACCGTTCTGTGTAGAACCAATCAACTATGTGAGGGTTATCAATGACATTCTGGCGTCTTACATCAGGAGAATTCTCATTGCCATTTGTATTACAGGTATTTTGAAAAGGGTCATGTAATTGTGGCCAGTGCATATCTGCTGAGGAAAATGTGAAAAAGAAAGTTGGAGGACCCACATGTTGGATGATTGCTTTTAAATCTTCTTTTGCCTTAAACCAATAGGCATCTGAACCAGTTATATTGGTGATGTACCGTGACAATTTTGTCATCAAAAGATTGCTTTGATTATTTGTAATCATATCTCTTAACTCTTGCAATGTTAAATGTTTTTCTCCTGGATTTTGCTTAAAAAATATTCCAGTTTGTTGAAGAATTTGTTTTCGTTGAATCATATTTAAAGCCCAGTTAGAAAATCTTGGATGATTTATTATCTTTTTTCTCTCCAAATTTAATAAGGTGTTTGATCTTTTCCTTAAGTGTAACATTTTTTAACAGGGACGGGTTTGTTGGATCCCTTTACTATCTGGAAATAGTGTTGGAAATGCCAGTGTAGCCAAAAATGCGGTGGTAAATTCATTTAAAGGATTGTCGCTTGAACTTGGCCAGTCAATATGACCTTGTAAAACTTGCTGATTTATTGAATGTTTTTCCTGTTGTTGGCTATTATTTATTGGAAGAAAGCTTGAAGTATCGACATTTGTATTATAAACATTGTCGTCTTCTTCATAAACAGGGCCACGATCTGGACCACAGTTAAGGGTGTCATCAATAACTTTCTCTTCTGTTTGTATGGAAAGAAGTTGTTGGGATACTTCATTCTCTGGTAAAGATACAAGTGCTTGATAATTTATTTCAATATCCGAATAAAGTGGATTGTGTCTTGAAAGCCAATGTATTGCATCTGATACAACTTGTCTTCTTACAACAAGATCTTTAAAATCGTTTCCTTTCCCCTTCTTCCGGACAACAATAACAGGTAAATCTTTAGGATATCTTGGGAGAGAATGTGCCAGTTCCCTAATGTTTTTTGGTATATTTATACAATGCCCTGAGAAGCCTCTTTGTCCTCCTGGTTTGATATAAACATGAATAATGGGAAGAGCATGAGTTATTAGCATTTCTTCCACTTCTGTTAAACCACTTAGTTCTTTTTGTACAGCTGAAGGCACCATAAGGTTTTCAGTTGAAAATTTCTTTACAATATCCTATTCTCTGGAGCATCTTGTGCACTGATAATTATTTATGCATTTAGGAGTGGACTTTAATGGCCACACTTCAAAACAAGTTATGCATTGGTAAATAGTATAATTGTTTAAATTATGAAATTTTGATATGTTCTCCTTTGCCCATGGTTGCTCATGTAAAGGACCTTTCTCTATAGCAGTTTGATAAATATTGTTCTTTTGAAACTGTTACATTAGGAAGTGATGGTCTAATGCATACTTTCTTCTTTCCAAGAGTTTTTTTTATTTTCTTTATATCTGTGTCGTTTTGCTTCTAGTCTCTCTCTGTGCTGAAGTTCTGTTTCAGATAATTTGAATTTTAGATATCTAAGAGCATTTGTATTTCTACCGTGTGGCACTGTAGAAACATAATGTAAATCCTCTATGTACCCAACAAACAATACTTTTGTTATTTCCCGGTCACCAGATGGAGTAATTGTTGATCCTTCTGGGCATGAGAGCCTTGACTCTATTATATGAATGTCACAATGAAGTTGATTGGCTACAGCCTGAATAATAATATTATCACACCATGTCCCAGGAGTGGTCATTCTTTGCAAATACATTTGCCATGAATGCTCTGATACACTTTCCACAAACAACTCAGGATGTTCTTGAAGATATTTAACACCTGCTTTCCTTATTTCAATGTGAAAGTCAGGAGAACCATAATACTGATGAGATACTGATCGGAAAAAGCAATCTCCACAGCCTCCAACATCAAATGGCTGTAAACCCTTCTGTAATAGTCTATTAATCAAACGATCATAGGAGCTCTCTGCAGTATCAATCTGATTTGACTGGCTAATTGTAGGATTCATACCACCAGAAAGAAACAGAAGTACAAACTGTTTTCTCACTACAATACTTTTATTTCTAATATCTCTTTTAAGATAAAAC